TTGTGATGGCATTAGTATTTTTGCGAAGCTATTTTTCGACCAAGCTCAGTTTGTGCAGTGTCTGTGGGTATGGATTTAGCTGATAGGTCTGGTGATTCTGGGCTTCGCGGTGTACGCCTACATAGAACCAGTAGCCCAAGAGCTGATAGAGGTCTCCAACCGCCGCACCATCGCCACAGTGGTACTCTTCGTGCTAATGGGTCTGGGCTCGCTGACTCTCATAGTGGCGCTTTTTGGATGTTGCGGAGCCTACCACGAGTCACCTTGTCTCCTTGCCACCTACTTCATTTTCCTCATCATTATCTTCGCAATCCAACTGTCCGGTGCCGCTGCTGGCTACTTTTACAAGGAAAAGGTTTGTTAACTTTCAACTGCGGCTACTTGCATTGCCTTCTCATGCGAATAATGTTTGTAAAATCAATATTAGCGATCGAAATGATGGAAAGGTTTTGTTTTATTTAAACACATTTCTATGTAAAAGTAACGTATTCTGAAACGGTTGCTTGCTTTCTCCAATGAACTGGTCTTATGTAATGGCATATTTTGAGACTGTTCTTCTGACCACCTCAATGGCTTCCATTATCGAGGCCCGAATGTCCCTGTTGCATTCATATCAAAGCGACTGTTTGCCACCTCAGTAACTTCGCTATATTGGCTACTTCTTTGATTAGAGGTGCGCTCCAAAATCGCGCTGGTATAGCCTGCGATCTTGTGTATTTTAGGCATTCTTTTCGAAAATGCCTTCACAGGACATTGTGATGTGAGACAGTCTTTTGAATCGCTCCAACGAATTGTGGCTAATACTTTTCGGCGAAAATTCAAAGAAACGTCGGCGCGTAGAAACTATTTTGTAAACTGATATTGTTGGAGAACTATGAACATATGCCGAAAATGGTGAAGTGTTAATCATACTGAAGTGGGACGTTTAGGAAATTCGCCGAGTATAGCATTGGAAACACGCTAATTTATCAACTTGGGAATGGACTACGAAATCTGAGGCGTTCGCACAGATGGGGCAGCGCATGAAGGCTACTTTAGATTCGATGTCACTGGTTCAGAGTGTTTTACGGCATTGAAACCGAGCCGCGTCGGAATATTTTATTTTTCCCTGTTGGAGAACGTAGGTATGCTGCGTGTCGTTACTCTCATGTTTACCGTAAAACGCCGACAAATTAAACACTTTGAATGCCTCATTTCATTTGCTATCGCTAAAAATTGGCTGAGCTAAAGATTGTATCCGCACTTAACCTGGGTTAGGTACCAGAAGTCAGAAATATCCCAAATATGGGCTGTGCCACTTTTGACACTTCATCTGTATTTTTTGGTGGAGAAAATATTCCACAGCTTTTGCTTCCAATTTAATAGCCTCACTGCCTAATTAAGTGCATCAAGGTTTTGTATGCTAATGTGAGAACCGATCGGTAAATAAACTATTTCTTTCTTTTGCGTCAGCTCTAATTTTTTACCTCTATGTAAAGTAAAAATTACATTCATATTTCATGAACAGCTTTCTTTTATGCTGAATCAGTGTGGAGGTTCTCAGTGCGGGTAAGCACTAATTTGTGGAAGTCTTTTGAAATTACTGAAACCTGTAAGCAGGTATTTTCATGCTTGGACCCCGTAAGCGATCCAATTCTGCCAATTCTGAGGAGGTAATTGGTACCTTTTTACTGTTTTAAGAATGTATGTCATTTTATCAGTAACTTGGTTTAGGATAATCAGGCAGTTGTTGCGTAGTGAGTAAGCGTCCATCATCTCACCAGATTTGAACTGATGGCCTTTCAAAGTCTTAGTAGCTGTGGTTTTGCCCCCTCCTTACTAACCAAAAACCAAGGATCCCTGACAGACGTCGGGAAGAACAACCTCAATTCTGATAGATACGATAAAGCCAATATCAACTGAGGTCAGTTAATCTTGTCAAGCATTTCTTTTAAGTTATAATGATTGTTCTTTTCTCATGAAGGGCTCAATCTTTGGTCAGGAAGCTAAGTTGAGATCGTCCCCTTGAACACCTGCACTGACATGCCAAAGGTCAGGAATGGTGTTCTCCATTTTAAGCTAATAAACTGACACTCAGGAGAGATACGCTCTAGATGATCTATTTAATGGCACGCTCAGGAGCAAAAGTCTGCGGCGATGAAGTAGTGGGTTGACCATAAACCTGTTCCTCTACAGAAATAAGGTATTGGTGAAATAGCGAAAATGTGGGAAAAGTGGGGGAAGTGGCTCAGCCGCCGCGATTTAGCGTGAACTGAGGCCTAGCGCAAATCGGATCGAGCAACTAAAGCCATCTCCACACTTCCCACTCTTCGTACTGGTGCTCATGTGGTGTCTACTATTATCGATTTCAGATATTTGAAAATACTGAGCAACGCATGCGCGAGGGCGTGTTCGAGCATATGAAACCGATTCCTACACTGAACCGGCAACCTGTACTGATGAACGCCGTACAGAAGGTGGTAAGTTTGCCTCTTTTCTTAGACTCGAATCGAACTCAAGCTGGGTATGCATTGGTGAGAGTTTTCACATAACTTAATTTTGGGTTCATTGAAACATCTAGATACTCCACATTAACATTCAAGGTTTGGGTAGATTGAAGTGGGCATTTACAGAGTGATTTTGGGCATAACGCAAATTTCAACTTTGCTTTAGCAAGGCAGAAACTTGTCCACTTCATACAGGATTTAAACAGGGACCTAATTGAATTGTATAAACGGTAATAAACTCAGTGCCTCCATGTATTCCTCTCCCATAATGCAGAGGCGTCCTAAACGTGATGGTGGTGTGGGGCATACGATCCTCGAGACATTTCATCCCCGCTATTGGTCACTTTTCCATCAACACACCTTGCTTATTTAGTTGGCTAACGTTCTCTTTCACTTTGTTGGCACACTTCGAAGTCATCTTGAGATGTCAGTGACAGTTCGTTTGCTCGCTTATTGTTTGAAACTTTTAAGCATGTTTATTTCACTGAATCGCTCATCTTAATGTGCTTATTAGTCGCATACTTTGGTCAGACATAGGCGTTAAAATAAAGGGCATTCATTATTAGCTGTGTTCAGGTTTGTTCCAAGTAGTGCTCACCAAAGCGAGCTCATAATTTGATGGCATATGGGGTTTTTGGTTCATTTTGAGTGTAGACAGGTGGACAAACAACCCGGGCTCTTGCGATTAAAGCGCATTTCAATTTTCTTCTTACCAGTTGTAAAGTACGGGAAAACAGCCCTTAGACATTGATAATGTACAATTTTAACGTCCCAAAAATATACGGCCATAATTTTCACTGTCATGACAAACAATGCCAGCCCTCCATTACAATTCCGTCATTGTCAAAGAAATACATTCCTTTAAGACGAAATGGTTAATGGCATTTTCTGGGAGTGTGCACAGTTTCAAATTTGCCGTAGATTTTTGAATGAAACTTCATGCTCCATCTTACGAAGTTTTAATATCACGATTCCTCGAACATTCCTATATTTTGCCTTGTGTTTTCTGTCTATAAGATATCCAGTTGTCCTGGTCCCTCATTTATCGAGTAAATTCGAATTTGCGTTTTGACATTGCAACCTCC